GCTGATCTCAGGTCAGCTGATCTCAAGTCAGCTGATCCCAGGTCAGCCGATCCCTGGTCGGTCAGCTGATCTCAAGTCAGCTGATCTCAGGTCAGCTCTTACATCACTTCTTTGTTCCTGCGTGGCCCCTCGAACGGCCTGAAGGGCAGGCTGCCAGTAGCGGCGTGATAGAACGTCACGCCGATGCTCCACAGGTCCACGGTGGCACCGTACTTCTTCTGGTGGTCCTTCCGGAGTACGGCGCGTTCGTACATGTCTGGGTGCTGCACACAGATCAACCGCAGGTTGAGAGGCTCCGCCCACCTGAACAGGCAGGTTTTAGTTTTCCACAGGTTTGTGTGTGTTCCTCACCAGGTACTCCTCTGTTCCATACAGGGACACAAACTGCTCGTCGTCCTCCAGCTCCCGGGCGGCTCCGAAGTCTGTCAACTTGTAGACGGAGCGGCCGTCCTCTCCGATCACTCTCATGATGTTTCCAGGTTTGATGTCCCGGTGGACGATGCCGTACTCTCTCAGGTGGTTCATACCTGCCACTGCAGGAGACACCAAACATCAGGTAAGTGGACCGTTCGGATCTCTTCTACAGGTTTAGGTTCTGCTGGAGGACAGGACCTTACCCACGTCATGAAGAACGATGAGGAACTCATCTTCAGGGAGTCCGTAAGCGTTGGTGGACTCCTCTAAGACGGTGTAGAGACTGCCGCAGGGACAGTACTCCATCACCAGGACCTTATGACGGGTGTTGGTCTGAAACGAAGACATTCAGTGAGACTTATGGACTGATGGGGACACACTGATCCAGTACTTACAGACCTCCTCCTCCACGGCAAACAGCTTGACGATGTTCTTATGGTTCAGTTTCTTCAGAACCTCGAACTCTCTCATCTGGACGTCCAGCGGTCGGAGGAAACTCAGGTTGTTGAACACCTTGACGGCGTACAGGTCGCCGGTTTTCTACACAGAAAAGTCTGGATCAGAACTCACTGAGACACAGTTGGAGCAGAGCAGATGATCAGGATCTGATGATCCTGGATCAGGTGGTCCAGCAGCAGCTCGTACCTTGTGCCGTCCTCGGTAAACATTGGCTGTCGCTCCCTGACCCAGCAGGTCTGAGATCAGCCACAGGTAGTTGGTGGTGCTCTGCATCCTGACGGCTGCAACTGATCCTGGAAACGAGGAGTCAGAAAACGATCCATAATCAATCAGCAATGGATCAATAACTGATCGACAACGTGTCAATAACCAGTCAGCACACCTGCAGCAGCTCAGGTAAGGACTAAATCCTGGATGGTTTCACTTCAGGCTGGACTCGGAGTTCAAACCAACGATCTGAGACAAACAAGTCAAATTTACTGAAAAAGCAAATTTAAAATCCGCAGCTGGCGCTAACGAGCCAAACAAAACCAGCGGCAGCTGGTGCTAACGAGCGCTAACGAGCACTAACGAGCGCTAACGAGCGCTAACGAGCTGAACAACAAACCAACGGCAGCTGGCGCTAACGAGCGCTAACGAGCCGAACAACAAAACCAACGGCAGAAACTAAAGAAAAAAACAACAATTAATTAAAAGCATCAAAAGAAAAACACAAAAACTCAGAACAATAATATACTAAATCAAATCTCGCTGAGTGAAAACAGACGAGTTTAAAAACAGGAAGTGAGGTGGCCTGTGGGCAGGTTGTTCCAGAGTTTAGAGCCCACGACTGAAAAAGTCCGATCTCCTCTGAGCTTCAACCAGACGCAGCTGATCAGATGATCTCTGCGCCCGGGAAGGAACAAACAGTTGAAGTAGGTCAGAGACAAGAGGGTGAAAGGTCATTTAGGTTAAAGGTTAACAAGAGAATTTTTAAATCTGTTCTGATACGTACAGGGAGCCAGTGAAGGGAGGACAAAACTGGTGACATAAACAAACAAATAAACAAACAAAATTCATAACTGGTTGTAACTATCGTACCCACCACTGCTCCCAGTATTCACTGGTTAACTGGTCACCATTAACTTCACACAGACTCTCCCACTGGTACATCTTCATCTTTAAATCACTTCCTGGTCTGCTGCCTTCATACATCTCCTCCTACATGTCTCTGTGTGAGTGCAGCTACAGCGTGCGCTCTCAGGACATCATTACCTGCAGTGTTCCCTCAGTGAGGACTGAACTAGACAAAAGGACCTTCTCCTACTCCGCTCCTGTTTCCTGGAATATGTTGCAAAAAGATCTGAAGCTCTCGACCTTTGACCTCTCTAAGTGTCTTTAAGAATCTGTTGGACTCCTGGCAGGGACCAATGCAGACATGTTCCTGTTTTTAGTTTCTACATTCACCTTAGAATCTGTTTTTGTTTTCTTTTTTTAGCCATCCTATTTGTTAAAAAAAAAACTGGAGTATGACTTTTTATAATTGTCCATTGTTTCATCTTTCTTTGTTGAAATCAGGTCTCTCTTGTAAATGAGTCCTCGAGGCTCAGTGGGATTTACCTGTAGAAATAAAGGTTGAACGAATGTGCAAAAGTTTTGATTCTGTTTTCAGTTCAACTTTTTATTTTATTCTTTGAACAAAAAAAACTACTGCAGAAAAACTGGATCAGTGGTTAGCACTGTTGTCTCACAGCAAGAAGGCCCTGGGTTCAATTCCCGGTTGGACCTGGGGTCTTTCTGAGTGGAGTTTGAACGTTCTTCTTGTGCTTGGTGGGTTTCCTCCGGGTACTCTGGTTTCCTGGCACAGATGAACAACATGCATGTTACATGCCTTCAGGCCCAGGCCTCCCTTCTAGAGATCTGTGATCTCAGTGGGATTTGCCTGGTTAAATAAAAGGCTAAATTAAAAACATTTAAATGAAGCAAAAATAAGAAAAACTAAATAAGTTCAAATAAACAGTCAGCTTGATGTTCGGGCTGCAGTAAATACACCGTATTACTTTACACTAGGACTGTTCAGTCAGTGTATATCCTACATCCTTATATACTGTTTATTTTTATACTTTATATTTTGGGGTGTAACTGGGACCCTGTGTACATGACTTCGTTCCACCTCATGTACCACATGTGATGTGAATGACAATAAAGAACCTTGAACCTTGGTTACCATGGTAACGAGACCCTGTCTGACAGGACCATGATTACCATGGTAATGAGACACAGTCAGCTGGAACCATGGTTACTATGGTAACAATACCCCATCTGCCCGAACCATGGTTAGTTACCATGGAAACAATTAAGACCCAGTCAGCTGGAACTATGGTTAGCATGGTTTTGGAGGGTCCTGACAATGTTGAACCTCCCCACAGGGATCATTAAAGTATTTTCTGTTGTAAAACAACAGGAGTTGACTGAAAACATTAATGAGTCCGATATCAAGAACGGAAAAGAAAATGCAAAATGTGATGAATCTTAAAAGAGCAAGTAAAAATAAAATACGGACCTTACAACAATCCCTAACCCAGGACCGGGTTCTATGGTCCTGGTACTCACTCCAGAGATGATTTGTTCAAACCAACACAGATTAAAATGCATATGCCCTGAAATGAAGCCCTGAGGAACCCCATGTCAGACAACAGACTCCTGTTGGAGGGGTCAGACCCGAACCTGGTGAAACGGTCCAGTAAGCCATAACCCAGGATACAAACTCGTGCTGTGGTAAATGAGTCCTCGAGGCTCGATGAGGGAACCTGAGGAAATAAAGATGATCTGCTGCTGTTCGTCATGACGTCACGGCTGATGACGGGAAAGTCCCTTTGAGAAGTGACGCATCAGAAAGGTGCGCGCGCCGTCACGGTGACGCGCGCCGTCACGGTGACGCGCAGATTCCAGTCGATTAGTGATCGATCGGTTTATTGATTGTTGCTATTTCAGAGGCGCGTGCGGACGGTTTGAACCCGCGGAGCTGAACTGTGCGCGAGCTCTTCCTAGTCTGAATCAGGATCCGGGTTCGCGCACGGTTTCGGTTCGCGTTGAGAACAAGAGATTCCGAACCGGCATCAGAAGCTCGGTTCTGTCACTGAACATGTTCACCCATCAAAGTGTGACCATAAAGGAAACGGCACCGAGTGCTCACCTGAGAAAACGAGCTCGTTTTACTTCCTTACCTTCTCTCGTCGGCTGAGCTCCGTCCTTCCGCTGTTTTTCTGGTCATGTGACTGCAGCGGTCCAATCAGCGAGCAGAAAGCTCTTACGTAATACTCCGAATAGAAGGCCTGGGAAATCAAACGTTAAGACGTAAGCAAAGAGTCGAATCTATTTTAATAATGAATATTGTTATCGATAAGTATTTAAGAGGCATTGTTTACGAAGGTAACAGGATTTATGAATGAATTTAAAACGCCCCTCTGAAAATCATTGATAATAAGTTACAGGTGCGGAGTGTTCCGTTATTACGGTAAAAGTGAAGAATCAAAAGTGAAACTCTAAAATGTTTCAGACCTTAAAAAACAAAGTATTCGGTGTTCTAGTTCCGTTTGTCTCAGCGACTTCTGAAGGCTCAGTGGAAAATAAAGTATAAACTTTATCATCTTTACTGGAGGCTGTTCAATAAACCGATTCATTTTAAAGGGAAATCAGATTTTTCAATATTTCTTGGCTAATTGATCAAATTGTCCCTAGGTGTGAGTGAGAATGTGGTTTGTCTCTGTGCGTCCCTCCTTATGGACTGGAGACCTGTCCACAGGGTGTCCCCTGCCCCAGTGATGGCTGGACATGAGCACCAGTGACCCCCGTGACCCAAAGAGAAGCGTAAAGATGAAGGAAGGATGGATGGATGGAAGGATGGATGGGTGGATGGCAAATCTTCTCCTTTAACTAGATACAGCAGTGGTTGGATGAATCACAAGCGGTGCTGAATCCGACTAGAGGAAGGAGGTTGAGGAGCATGAAGTGTAGAACCACTAGACTGAGGAACAGCTTCTACCCTGAGGCTGTTAGACTCATGAATCTCTAACCAGGAGAATCTCTGTGATGACACTTTGGTGACATGTGCTGCTGATTATCCATGCTGCTGATCTCATGCTGCTGTATTCATACCATTACTCACAACAGACTCTTGTTCTGGCTGCTGTTTAATACACCATATTATTTTACATTAGTGTCTAGCATGTCTTAGATCCTTAGTTTCATATATATATATACATATATTTATATATATATATTTGTTTTTATATATATATTTATATATATATAAACAAATATATATATATAAAATACGACAATAAAGAATCTCTTAATACTTTATAATTTTGCTATTGTTGGATGTAACCGAGTCCATAATTTCGTTCGCTCATGCACCACGTGATGCGAATGACAGAATCTCGGCACCAACACATTTTATTCACGTTTATGAAGGCTGGTAATTTAGTTTTTGCAGTTTTCATCCCTTGATCAAATGAGCACGCAGACACAGAGGTCAAAGGTCACGCACTTTATAATTCACAAAAGAAGAAACATCAGAACAGAAGGACAGCTTATGGTGGCGCCTGACGGGTCGGACACGACTACCGGACCAGAGGACAAACCTTCAACGTTTCTACTTCCTGTCAGTCTGTGAAGCTTCTTTCAGTCGGTCCGACAGGCGGAACATCTTCTCTGATCCGATCTTGATCCTGGTTCCTGTTTTACATTTCAGACCCAACAAAGACTCATCAGAACCTTCTCCTGTCGCAGCAGGACCTTCAGTTTCAGCCGAACCAGGTGAGTTTAAAACCGGTTTCACTCCGTTTGGACCGGATCAATCCATTGTGTAAAGTGCAGAGACTGAGAGCGAGGGGGCGGAGCCACAGGTCACATGAGAGGAGAACGTATAGAGGCTCAGCAAGGCCAAACTAAGAGGTTTTTCTTTGTCCTACGGTCCAGACGGGACAGGCTGACCCGGTGCGAGCGCCAGCCACGTTTTCTGATTGTCAGCGTTTGAGGGATTCTGTAGAAAAATAGGACGTCGTCTAAAAAAAAGACGGAATGAGAAGTGGTCGATGAGGTCAACGAGTCCGTAAATAGCTTATAAATACGTTATCTACAAGACGGTACAAAAATATGAGACGTCGGAGGACGCTGCTGCTCCTCGCCGGGCGTCTCATCCACACACGAGCAGGATGGCGTCTCTGCTCAGGCACGAGTCGGGTCGGGTCTTCCTGCTCGAGAGAGACAAATGTTTTGGTTTCCATCAGAGGACGGAGGCCCGAGAGGGACACGTTCGTCCCATTTGCTTCCCATCGTCATGCAGCACGTCAAACAGAGTGGCTCTGGTTCTGATCCGAATGATCGAGCCATCAGTATGTGCCTTGTGGTGCTGCAGTGGGTCAGAACCGAGGCTCGGGGTTGGGACATCCTGACAAGACGATGTCCTGAGAAGACAAAGTCCCGAAGGGGGACACAGAGGAGAGCATTCAAACAAAACACTGTCCTGACTGAAAATGATTCTGTGGAGACAATGTCCTGAGAGGACAATGTCCTGATGGAACACTATCTTGAAGAGATAATGTCCAGAGGCAGTCCATTTGAGACAATGTCGTCTCAGAAAGTTGTCCCAGATGGTTCGCTGTCCTAACCCGTAATGCTCACAGTTGGACCCAGCAGCTGGTTGGTGAACAGCTGACCTGGTTGCCGTGGTAACGGCAGAGACGTAACGGTCCATTTCATCGGTTCAGTTGTCTCTCGGCCCGACTTCTTCACGCTTTAAGGCAACTTATATCTGTGATGATCTGAATAAAAACTTTATAGTTAAAAATGTACAAATTTCTTATATAAACCCTGTGATGTCATCAGTGACATCATCGGAAACATCAGCAGTGATGTCATCAGTGACGTCACCGGTGACATCATCAGTAAACACTGGATAGAAAATATATAAATATGTTTCTCTTTTCAATGTACAAAAGTTCAACAGCTCGCTGCCCTCTGCTTCCCTTTTGTCATCTTGCCCCACCCCCTTCAGTCACTTCCTGTTTATGTACAAAGGGGGCAGAGCTGTGCTGTGTGGGCGGAGCCACGTCCATGGGTTAGGCTCACGAGGAGTCTGTGCAGGGTGAGGGCGGCGGTGGGTAGAGGTGGTGGGAGTAGCTGCGCTCTGTGTACGGCGACGGCGGGCAGCTCTCGCAGTTCTCCTCCGCCGACAGGTACTGGCTGCGGGGCGTCGGTGGCGGCGGGAACGGCTCAGAGTCATAGTTCAAGTCGCTGGTGTAGCCCTTGGTGGCCGCAGCAGACTTCAGTGGTGCTCGACGTCCCGGAGTGTAGTCGCTGTCACAAACGTCAGTGCTGCAGGGTGTGGTGGGCGGGGCAAAGTGGCGGTATGTGTACGGCCGGTAGCTGGAGGAAACAACAAAAAACATTTTATTATTATTTTGTAAAAAAGCAGCGAACAGAGACAACCGGCTGCACAGGAAGTAAACAACCAGCGGTACCTGTAGGAACGGGTACCTGAAGCAGTACTTGTGGGAACATGAGCTGTACCTGTGGGAACAGGAGCTGTACCTGTGGGAACAGGAGCTGTACCTGTGGGAACTAAAATTTTACTTGAAGCGGTACCTGTGGGAACAGAAGCTGTACCTGTGGGAACATGAGCAGTACCTGTGGGAACAGAAGAGGTACC